CAGAAACACAAAACTTTATAACTTAATTTATTCAATAAATGTGAAAAGTGTCAAAAAGCATTTGGGCATATATGGAATATATACATATCAACCAAGACAACCATGAAAATATCTCTATATTCATCTTGTGGAAAATATGACAAACTGATCCTGTATTTGACTAGAAGTCTCTGGTCATTTTCACTCAACAACAAAAGTTTCAGCAGGGATGTTCCCTGACGTGAAATCCTGCATCTGTAAGTCAAAAAACTGAAAACGGATGAAACCTCTAGTGATGCACGTCTTAGTCATTTACCACTTTTGTGAAACTCAAGTCTGGTGACAAACCTTCAAATACAATCAGTGAATATGAAGCCATGGCATGGGCGGATACAGCTTTTTTGAAAAGGGGGGGTGCACAATTAAGATCTATTTATTGTCTATGGTGGTAATTTATACAGAAATAAAGATTTTTTCGAAATAAAAAGGGAGGGGTGCGCACACACACACACACACACACACACACACACACACACACACACACACACATCCTGTATCCGCCCATGCATGGTCATAGGCTTCGAGTTTGTCCAAGGGACGCAACTCTGCACAGCGAATTTTGGCGCCGTTGACAGCCGAGAAGGGAAAGGACATTTTGAAGTGTAACGTATGTCGTATGACCAACCCATTGCATCAAAACAGCCTAATCCTACATGGGTGTGTCTTAACAAGTGGTTCGTGGTGTATAGATGATAGATCAACTTGTTTAATAATCACCACAACACTTTCAGTTATCAATAAATTCACAGGATCAAAAAACTTTTGTTGTTGCGTTCATATAAACCAGAGACCACATATCGGTATAAACACATCACCCATTCAATGATTCATCACATTTCACTTCAGGTGTGACCACCAATACCTTGATGGTGTAAAATCACAGTATCAAAACAAACTACAACCGTTCTCACCTGGATCGAAATTTGAATTAAAGAAATTACAGCTGACACGAGATTGTGGTTGTTTGTGGAACAATGCATGTCAAAGTTGAGAGTTGAAGAAATATGTGAGGTAGATCCACTTACAACACTTACAATGTTTTACTAACAGGAACTCGTTATTGGTCAGTAAATAAAAATATATACCCCCTATATGTAAGTAGAGAATCAACTAACATATATATAGGGGTATATATTTTTATTTACCGACCTATAACGAGTTCCTGTGGTTTTACTTGGTTTACAGATCACAGTCCAGTTTTTAAAACATCCTGCTGAAAGCATTTTAGTTTATTTCTTTGTTGCAGCCAACCAACCAAATATGTAATAAAGTCTGTAAAACAAAAATCAAAACCAAGTATAGATCTGGCCTTAGCTAATGTGAGCACGTGCTGTAAACAGCTTATGCATTGTGCTGGAAACCCAAGACTTGCTCATAAACAGCTGTCAGATGATTTTCTCATTTTGAAAATTTTGAAATAATACTACCGGTGGTTGATTGGAATTTGACTGATTGTGAGTTTTGACTAGTTGTCATACGAATATGATTTGATGTTGCTATGGGCTATTTCAGTTTCATTCCAAGTTTAACAAACCCGAGTAAACATTTCCAAAAGCTGTGGCTGTTTTTTTAGAAGGAAATATCTTGGTATGCCTGTCAATAGTTGAGTGGTTTATCTATGAATCTACAAAAAGACAGTGACATCTTGACCAAAGATTAACTATCCAGGGCCAACTGCACAAAGCCATCTTAGAACAAAGATTACCTTAAGCCTATGTTAAAGTATGGGAGTTATGATCATCTTAGCGCTAAGATTACCTTAAGCCTATGTTAAAGTATGGGAGTTAGGATCATCTTAGCGCTAAAATTGCTTTATGCAAGTCGGCCCTGTATACATGTATATATTGAAGATCAAAAGCTTACTAGCAAGAACATGGCGAGATTATCCCTGAGCATCTCCAGATGGAATGTTTAAATGATTTTTTAACCGCAATGAGTTTAAACCTGGTGCTGATCACAAACTCGTTTCATCTCACTGATGAGAAATGATCTGAGTGTTGCGCACATGACCATCACATTGTATCCACACACATATTCTCACAAACAAACACAAAATTTAGAAAGAGGTTTTTTTTTCAGAAAACAACAACATTGCTAGTACTTCAAAGTCTTGTATACACAACATGGTACTGTGAGACATTGACCCTTAGGAACTCTCAGGTTGCGCTCAGTATATGAAATTAATGTTGCATCAATTGTACAAAAGTACATTCATACAGAAATATCTTTCATAAACATATTCCTGCTATGCTTCGTTTGATCATTTGAAGACAAATGGAAAAAAAAATCAAAATTATTGCTTGAAAGAGAATTCCCTCAACAAGCACGACTGTGTGAAATATTCTAATGTTTAATTTATTCCTTAGACTGGCTGCTTTTCAGTAGGGGCGGCAGGCCTGTAAACTGAAAAATAACACATGTGCCCCAATGGAGTCTGGGAACTAATTTAAAAAAAATGCAGGTCAACATGGGAAGGGGAGATAAGCTGACAACCTGAAACTTAAAACACATTCGAATACTTTTAATTCTTTTCTTGTCTTCTATATTTCACTTGACTATATTGTTCAAATATCAGTTTTGATTTTGACACAAAGGTTTTTGTAAAAGAAACAACAGGATTTATATAGAGAATCTCACCCTCATGTCTTTTGATATCAAATATATCAAGTTGATAAAAGTGAAAACACTCCGAGGCTTGCCGACATCATTCTCTTCCAACTTTTTCAGTTTGTAGACTGTAATAAGCAGTGTCTAAGTGTAAAAAGTACTGCCGACAGCTTCAGTAGCAGAGCCATTAGTGATGTCATTTGACTGTGACATCATGGCAACCAATGACGTCACAATGGTCTGCAAAGCATTGTGATGCAATTTCATTGCAGCGATGTCTACAATGTAGACATCGCTGGATCTAACCCAAGCAATATCTCCTGTGGGAGCCAGTTTGGGATGATAAATCATGTAATGTAACCAAAATCTGCACCATGTCCAACTTGGAATATATATTGTTTATGACAATATGCAGACTATGAGTTATGCTGTTGTCGAAGTATGAACCATGGATTTATTACATATACAGCGTGAAGTGAAATATTGCACAAGAATCACATTTTTAAAGCAAACCAATACACAAAGCAAACACCAGACATCCTCAATAAAAAAAATCTATACTCCCCAGGGAGCTGAGGATGCAATTCATCGTTAATTTAAAAATAATCACAAACATTATTGTTGCATCATAATCAGTAGATATTACATATGCACATATAATCAATACTGTAGAGGTAATAATAATCATGCATCTAGTCAAACATTTCCATTAAGAAATCACAACATGAATGTGATTAAAAACTGGAATGTATGCTAATTTGTGTGCTGTATCGACGTGGTCAAATCATAAATGATCAAATACACCAGACTTAAAGACATGATCAATGACAGTTCATTTAATGGTACAGGTGCTACCCTTTGTCTGAACACATCTGTGGAATCAATATGCAAGTACCATCAAAATCAAATTGTCTCTGTAGCAGACTGGTTTGGCCCCATGTTATCTGGCTAATCACCTCTACTCAGGATTACAGAACTATGTTTGTTTGTTGTTTAACGCTGCACTCGGCAATATTCCAGCTATAGAACGGTGGTCTGCAAATAACCGAGTCTAGACCAGTCAATCCATTGATTGACATCATGAGCATCGATGACCGCAATGTAGATACGATGACATGCATCAACCAAGTCAGCGAGCCTGACCACCTGATCCCGTTAGTCGCCTCTTATGACAAGCATAGTCACCTCCTAGGGCAAGCATGGGCTGCTGAAGACCTATTCTACCACGATCAAACTATGTTGGTTCCTACATGTTGCACTGGTACCCTCCGAAAGTGAAATGGTCAGTCTTTGACTACTTCACCATTTCCAAAATACATCTTGAGTACAAAATACATCTTGAGTAAAGAGACATGATTGCACCCAGAATTCACTTTGTATCGAAGCCGTTAAGATCCGGGGTAGAATAGGTCTTCAGCAACCCATACTTAAAAAGGCGACTATGCTTGTTGTAAGAGGCAACTAACGGGATCGGGTGGTCAGGCTCGCTCGCTGACTTGTTTGATGCATGTCATCGATCTCAATTGCGTGGATCGATGTTCATGATGTCAATCACTGGATTGTCTGGTCCAGACTCGATTATTTATACCTCCCATTGCTCCCTAACACCAATACAACCAAGGAAATGTCCATGTGAAACTTGTCCAGTCAACACTGGAAATCTCCACGGTGGAAACGTAGAAAGTGGCACTTCACTATCATAATACCATTGCAATACCACACTAAACACTCCTAATCATGACTGAGTTCTTTCCACAGTAAAATGTATGTGGTAATATTGCAAATCTGAAACATGACTGCTGACAAACAACTCACATTGCACATTGAAAGACTTCTGGTTACACACAGTAGCATGAATGTTACTATAGTTATTGGTTTAGTCACTTACAGCCTCAAAATAGAAATAGGGGGCTCTTATTAGAATAATATTTTGGTGAAAAAAAACAGAGTTGAAAGATCGTAAATTTTGTGGTTTATGCTGACAGCCTGAAAAGATACAAAAGAAAAGTCTGTGTGTATTATACACGACAGATATATTTTCCAGAATTTAATTACCCATCATTAAGGGTGCATATAACACACGAGTGCATATTATACACGAATAAATAAGTCTGGTGTACATTGATCAATTGGAAGGGGTGCTAATTGGGATTGTTCACTAGCCAATATATTAGCAAATATCGCCGTGGGCGCTTATTAGAGCGGGGCGTTTATTACGTCAAGTACAGTATTAATACTAGTGCTTAACGTGGATCACTGAAGATGCCTTTCATAAAGCAATTTCTATAAACTCAAGGGACTCGTCATATTGATGAAATTGCTTGTCATTGCCTAGTGTTCCTTTTTAGCAATCCTTCAAACTGGTCAATCAAGCTAATGCCATTACTTACGTTTGTTGGATCATGGATCCGTAGAAACTATTTTATCATAGACAAATTCAAATCTTGAAAAAACAAAACATTTTGCTGACACATCACAAAAAGTACTGGACTAATTAACATGTTTAAAGAATAGCAGAAACAACACTGCTATAATGCTAACTTGACATTCATATTTTGTGAAATCAATTGGGTGTAGCTGATTCAATATACCCTCGTGCCTCCCCCTTGACACACTAACTTTGCCTCAATTTATTCCTTCAGTGTTTCAGGAAAAGCCAACTTTTCGCCAAATGTATATGGAGTTGTATTCTGATTGCATATTGTTCTGAGCACTCTCTTGAACTCTGTCTTAGCTTAATTCATTGGATAAAAATTATAACTAAACCATACAACAGCCGTATGTGTTCACCATCCTCCTGACGCAGGGGAATCAAATGACTATAAAAGTCCAGTTTCCACCCTTGCCGGACTAGGCTGGAACTCCGGAGTTATATTTAGGCTGGACTAATGAGTCAATGCAAAGTCCAATCAAAATCGCGTAACGAAATCAACATCCGGTTCGTAAACAACATGGCTACTGCCGTGCAGATTTCGGTTGATTGCAGGATTTGCAGAACATGTGTGCAGTCAACTGGGCGTCGACAAGATATTCTCCAAATCTTTACATGTTTTTAATCAAGATGCGCAACCGATTTGATGCACTTAGAAAGGTTAGACCTGTATATATTACCATATAGATCTTGATTATCAATCATATAGTCTTGACTTGGTGCTGCCATTTTATTTAAAGTAAATGCAAATGATATGAGAGGTGGAATCTGACTGGTCAATATGAGGGATATAGAAGGGACATAACCTGTAGTAGCCACTAAATTCCAATCATGTTTGTCAAGGGTGGAAACTGGACTTTATAGTCAGTAAACTCCCTTGCCTCAGGAAGATGGTATTCACAGGAAACAAATTCCCCATTATGCAATCATCAGCCATGAGGAAGTGGAGAAGAACACAGTGCATATCTTAAGGACACTTCTTTCAATTAGTTGATGAGACCAGTTATCTTGAAGACCCAGCCCCAGTCACAGGGCATCCTGTTGGCAGGGATAGCTGGGATGTCGATGTCCATGCCGTCCATGCCGTTCCTATGCCATGTGAACTCCCCTTCGTAGCCAATCATACTCACTGCTGTGCCGACCTCAGGGTCAGGGGAGCCAAGGGTCAAGGTTGCACCCTCAGGCCAGTCCAGGACAATGGCGTACACAATCTGACCAGTTGGTCCATCCCGGGAAGTGTACCTACGTAAACATACACCGTGTGGTCAGTCATCAGAGGGATAAAAGGAACAATGTAGGGATCACTGACACAACTGAGAAATGAGCAGATGTGTTCCAATAAATTTCAATTTGTCTTTGTTCTTTTAAATATTCACATGTTTTGGACTTGCGACAAAAGTTGCCAAAAATGCTGAGTTTAGAGGTAAATGTCCACACTAATAGATTTCACCATAACACAATTCCTTCTATGCGAGGCTCAGAACTTGTCAGTCAACCTATGTATACCGTCACTAAAATATTGTGATATGTATTGATATGTGAGGTAAGCACATCATGACACCCCTAGATATAAATGAGATTGACAAGGGAGGTGTCTGAAGGGTGTGTCCAAAGGAGAGTGTAAGAAAGAGGTGTGTCTGAAGGAGAGTGTAAGAAAGGGGCTGTATGAAGGAAAGTGTGAGAAAGGAGTGTGGCTGAAGAAGTGTGTCTAAAGACGTGTGTCTGAAGGAGAGTGTAAGGAAGGGGTGTGTCTGAAGGAGGGTGTCTCAAAACATGTGTCTGAAGGAGGGTGTCTCAAGACGTGTGTCTGAAGGAGAGTGTAAGAAAGGGGTGTGTCTGGAGGGAGGTGTCTGAAGGAGAGTGTAAGAAAGGGATGTGTTTGAAGTAGGGTGTCTAAAGACGTGTGTCTGAAGGAGAGCGTAAGAAAGGGGTGTGTCTGAAGGAGAGTGTAAGAAAGGGGGGTGTCTGAAGGAGGGTGTCTGGAGGGATGTGTCTGAAGGAGGGTGTCTGGAGGGAGGTGTCTGAAGGAGAGTGTAAGAAAGGGAGGTGTCTGAAGGAAGGTGTCTGGAGGGGTGTGTCTGAAGGAGGGTGGCTGGAGGGAGGTGTCTGAAGGAGAGTGTAAGAAAGGGAGGTGTCTGAAGGAGGGTGTCTGGAGGGAGGTGTCTGAAGGAGAGTGTAAGAAAGGGAGGTGTCTGAAGGAGGGTGTCTGGAGGGGTGTGTCTGAAGGAAGGTGTCTGAAGGGGTGTGTCTGGAGGGAGGTGTCTGAAGGAGAGTGTAAGAAAGGGGTGTGTCTGAAGGAGAGTGTAAGAAAGGGGTGTGTCTGAAGGAGGGTGTCTGGAGGGGGGTTTCCGAAGGTAGTGAGTACCCTCCCCTCTGTGGATCTGCCAGGGCACACAACCTTGATTCGTCAACTCAAAGACTCTAATGTATTACCAGACATTGGGGGTGATGGAGTCGTTCTGATAGACCCAGGGGTGGGTGGTGTAGATGGCCTCTCCATTGACCCCCAGCCAGGTCCCCAGGTCCAGCAGTCTCTCCTTGAACACAGCCGAGATCATGCCATCCGGCTCCGGCCCGATGTTGAGGAGGTAGTTGCCCCCACAGCTACAACAGAGTGGCAGTGTCTACAGATGGGCTCCAGGATTCACCTTTGCATTCACGACATGGAGCACACTTGGTAAAGTATATTTTTACAAACAATTTGTTCCAGATACTAAAAATAGACACAACCGCAAAAGAAACACAAGTCAATTTTTTTGTTTGTGAAATGCACAAATAACAGCTTGTGAAAAGAAATGTATACATATGTATGCATTTTCCCCCTTGTCCATCCTTTAAATAAAAATACACCAAGCATTTCACACTCGTCTTCGAAAAAGGACAGGAAACATGATTCGATAAACTGAACTCCAGAGAGGCGTTGCCAGTGGGATGCTGAAGTACGGACCAACGTCAACTGCAGTGGTGAGGCACTTTGGATGTCATGTGTCTACCATCACCTTACTGGTCACAAGGCATCAACATACATGCAGAGTCCGAGGGTCACTACTCTAGCGCAGGGCCGTTACATCCGGGTGACACATCTGCGTGACCGACATGGACGAGCAACACAGACAGCTGCAAACATTCAAGGTCCACGTCATCCCGTGTCAGCCGGCACAGTTTGTCGTCAAATGTCGTAGTCCTTACGTCGGCCCCATACGTCACCGCCAACAACGTCTGCAGTGGGTCCAACAGCACCTGCGTTGGCGACGTCAATAGTGGCAACAAGTTGTCTTATCAGACGAATCAAGGTTTAACTTTTCTCACAGCGATGGCCGACCGGTGGGGGAGGAAGCATCATGGTGTGGGGAGGCTTCAGTTGTCATTACGAGACTCTTCTACACGGGTTCCGTCAGCGCGGGAGTGCTGTCGTGTACAGAGATGATGTTCTTCGTAATCACGTCAGACCTCTCTTCCTGAGTCAACCTCAACTCCAGGTCTTACATCAGGACAACGCTTGTCCCCATACAGCATGGGTCTCTATGAACCTCAAAGTGAATAACATTCCTGTGATGGCCTGGCCACCTTTACCACCGGACATGGCGCCAATTGAACATGACTGAGACATTGCGGGAATGCGGGAATGGAACAGGATTCCTCAAGCCTTCTTCCAAAGACTTGTCGACTGAACGAGACGGTGATGTGCGGCCTGTATCGCAGCTAACGAGACCACACACGCTACTGATGGACACGACTGACACTTGCCATTTTTCTGTTTGGTGGCACCCTGTTTTCGGGGGGATTTTTCAATAAACACGGACAGTTGTCATCAAACAATCAACGCCCATTTGTTATCAAATGTTTTTCCTGTTATCATTTCTTAGTATTATCTACATATCTTTTATGGTCTTAACGTTATCCGCATTTGATATACAACTTGCGTTTCTTTTGTGGTTGAGTATATATTACAATTTATTACAATGATATTTATATTTTGTTCCCTGGATATCCTGAAAAAATAATATGGCTCATTCTTTGTCAGAGGAGTTAGACATATACAACATAAAGAGATAAAACTTGTTAGCAATAAGTAAATAGTATACAAATAAATACCAACACGGTGGCTATCAAAAGTAATAGGCATATATGGAGTGATAAAACAACATGTTTAATAATCAACAAGAGGACAAAGTCATCAATATCTCCACGCAATGGTAAATACTTGTGAAAAATATATGAAACTTTTGCCATGGAAACTCCAAATATATATTTTTATAATCCTAAACTTTCAAAAGGCACTAGTTTACAACTAGACCTATCTATGTATCAAATTTGGTGAAGAAATATTGTACAGTTTTCAAGGTCTTCAAGGTCTGCTCTGGAAACAGCATTTTGCGGGGGGAAAACAAACAAACAATGCACGCGATAAGTGATGATGATGAACTAAAAAGAAAAGCAACCTACTTAAACATAATTTGCTGACAGACTTAAAAGATTTTTGTCAACGATTTTGATTTTGGCACAATAATTCTACAGCCAGACCATAAAACAATATAACATTATAAGATAATATGTGAGAAGGGTTATGTTCAATTGTAAAAGCTCACCTGATCACCTCCACCATGTTGGAGATTATCTGATCTGTGGTCATCAATTCCTTGATTTTCATGTTACGCCGGAACCCCCAGGAAATGGGGTCAATGGACGTCTGACACTCCCACTTGAAGGGCTGGAGTGTGTCTGAACACAAAAAATATCATGAGGTACACCAGCACACATATGACATGCATCAGCCAAGTCAGCGAGCCTGACCACCCGATCCCATAAGTCGCCTTTTACGGCAAGCATGGGATGCTGAAGATATATTCTACCCCGGATCTTCATGGGTTTCCATGTTACTTGTATCACAGCAAGCATGGGACACTACAAAACTGTTCACTGAACTAATCATCTGTCACAACTGTAACTCCTCAAATTCTGACATTTACAGTTTAATATTTTATGCATTTCCAACAACTCAACTCCCATGTTGTTTTACATAGAGAGTGAAAACTATCAGTCAGACATTCAGAATGGGTTCCAACATGTGCTGATTAGAACATCAAACATGGCACTTCAAATTTGGTTATTCATACATCTATCGTGACAGTAGCTGGGATGAAATAAGACTTTTCAACTCTCCCTGCATTGTATTGAAACATCCAAGTGATTGACATCATGAGCATCGACACAATTGGGATACGATGACAAGCATCAACCAAGTCAGCGAGTCTAACCACCCAATCCTGTTAGTCGCCTTTTACGACAAGCAAAGTCGCCTTTTACGGCAAGCATGGGTTGCTGAAGACCAATTCTCTACCTATCTTCATGGGTCGGTGAACACGGTGAAGACAAGTAAATTTCCAGTGAAAGTAGTCCTCTTTGACTAGTAGCATTTAAGGGCTTTATTCTCAATGCTGCACTTTTGCTACAAATAGATATACACATGAGTGAATGGATATACGTACGTGGATTAAACTTATCCTGACAGTTGAAGAAGCCGCCATGGCGACATGTACAGTTGATTCCCCAGGCATCATTGATGACCACATTCTCCTTCACGGGACTGTCACACAGGAAGTAAATAGTAACATATCAATGATCCTGATAATCCACGTCAGAATCATATTTTTCTCAAGCGTTTGTATGTTTGTTATATAACCCTGCACTCAGCAATATTCCAGCTATATGACTGCGGTCTGTAAATAATCGAGTCTGGACCAGACAATGCAGTGATTGACATCATGAGCATCAATCTTCACAATTGGGTTACGTTGACAAGCAGGCTAACAACCCAATCCTGTTAGTCGCCCCTTACGACCAGCTTGGGTTGCGGAAGACTTGTTCTAACCCGGATCTTGTTGTTGAAGTGGAGGCCAAATATCAGAATGCATAATGGGTTATCTCCCTTATATTGGGCAACGAGCAAGTGATCAGAGATTTGTCAGGTGAGAAAGTTCTTCGTCATGACTGGTCTTGCCAAGGTTTAGTGAGTCTTTGACTGAGTTAACAGACAATCCAGTGATTGACATCATGAGTATCGATCTAGGTAATTGGGATACGATGACATGCATCAACCAAGTAAGCAAGTCTGACCACCCAATCCCGTTAGTCGCTTCTTAAGACAAGTATAGTCACCTGTTATGGCAAGCTGCAGTTGTGCTACAAATTGAAGCTTAATAAAACAGACAGAAAATGTAAACGCAGTAAACATTGTTGTCTCATTCAAGCAGGATCAGCTTCAAACTCTGAGGATGAGTGAAATGAATCCTCTGGACAAATCTTTTATATTCTTTTTAAATGCCTTTAGAATCAATAATTGAAAAATTGCAAGGAAAAAATGTTTTTCAGTAATCAAGTTGTGATTTATCAGGCATCGAAAAAGAGCAAGCATGTGCTTTCAACATGTTCAAGAATATCTGTCCTATCATTATGTTGGGGTGGTAGGGTAGCCTAGTGGTTAAAGCCTTCGCTTGTCACGCCGATGACCCGGGTTAGATTCCCGACATGGGTACAATTAATGTGTGAAGCCCATTTCTGGTGTCCCCGCCGTGTTATTGCTGGAATATTGCTAAAAGCGGCGTAAAACCATACACACTCACTCATCACGTGGGTGGTCCAGAATAACAAAAACCACACACCAGAAACATCTGCCTGCTCAACCATGACGGTGCACACAGGCACCATGCTGTAAATTTTCTCTGAATTTGATCGGCAAAACGTGGTCACAAGGTTATAAACTGATTTTGTTCAACTGATTGCAGTTCTTCTGGGTCAATATATCACACGTTATTTCGACCATTTGTTGTTGACAATCCATGTGAGAGAAATAATGTTTTAAATGTGCTAAAAAATATGTCTAATCTGATTAACATTTTTTCATATTATTATTTTATATTTTCTTATAGAGATTGTAATGATGTAACTCCTGGGCCCACTTGCACAAAGCGATCTTAGCACTAAGATGATTGTAACTCCCATACTTTAACACAGGCTTATAGTAGTCTTAGCACTAAGATCACTTTGTGCAAGTGGGCCCTGGCCATTTTTCAAAGCAATTATGCCTAAATCATAGACATAGGCATCTTTGCTGCTAAGGCCATAATTTAAACAGTGCAAAGCTTATATTTCCATAAAAAGTGATGTGGAGCTTGCGTTCTGCTGCGAGTGACTGACCTGTCATTGTACATCCAGGCAAAGAACTCCTTAGACTGCCAGTAGGTGTCCGTCGCCTCCCAGTCTCCGTCAGAGTGAATCATGTCGGGCAGGTACGTGTTGACCAGATGGTACAACTCTGGCAACGTCTTCCTCTGAATAATCAGACAATATCAAACACATTATAAATAGCACTGCCAAAACCTATTGATTGATTATTTCTCAAGTTAACTTGCACACCAATTTCATTGACAAATATGACCTTGAAAATGACCTTGACCTATAACAAAAGTGATTTTAACATCCAGTGTTTGACATCATGAGCATCGTTCCACGCAATTGGGATACAATGACATGCATCAACCAAGTCAGCAAGCCTGACCACCCAATCACGTTAGTCGCCTCTTACAACAAGTATAGTCTCCTTTTATGGCAAGCATGGGTTGCTGAAGACCTATTCTACCACGGATCTTCAAGGGTCTATTTGGAACATTCAAACTCATCAGCACTGATAAAAACTTACAGTTACGAAGTTATTGGTGGTGAAGTTATTGGCCTGGTCTTGGAGCCACAGTGGATTATACCACTCGAACAGGGAATGATAGAGGCCAAGCTTCAGGTCAGTCTTGTTTCGCAGAGCAGTAGTTAGCTCCCCTGGAGACAACGTAAACACATGGTAATACATGGCAACCGACAATCTCATCATCACAGGTTCCAAAAATAATGTGTAACATGTGTGTGTGTGTGTGAGTTGGGTTTAACGCCGCTTTTAACAGTATTCCAGTTATATCACGGTGTGTCAGCTTAATGTTGGAGGAAAGCCTGAAGTAATGCAGGTCTCAGACGTTTACCACTTCGGTGAAACCCACGAGCACGGGTATGGTGCTGACAAACCTAGAAACATAATTGGGGCGAACCGGGATTCGAACCCACAATCATAGGTTTCTGGCGTGTCCAGGGGACGCAACTCTGCACAGCGAATCGCGGCGCCTTAGACGACTGGGCCACCGCGCCCCCTGTGTAACATGTGACGTTGTGGGGAATGAGTGAGTAAATGCTTAATGCCACAGCCAGCAATATTCCAAGCTATACGTCCATTGTTCACTGTGCTCTGTATACAATCTAGTTTGTACCATGCTAACTTCAATCTTTGCTATACTTTAAACAAAAACCCAGCTGATATGGAGCTATGTTACCATGGTTACCATCATATTCATTAACATGAATAAAGGTCAAAGGGATCAAAGGTCAACATGGTCAAGGGCACCTACCAACAATATCTCTCCCGGGACCGACATCTCCGGAGTTCCAGTTCCAAGACACATTGGACGGCCACATTGTGAAGCCATCATGGTGCTTGGTTGTAAACACAATGTACCTGGCAAACAACGAACCATATACATGATGTGATACAACAATGGAGGTTAAGTTTGCAAGGAACCGACCATTTGATATTCGGGGATGGGGCTGCGATTTGTTTGTTTATTTGTTGTTTAACGCCGCACTTGGCAATATTCCAGCTGTATGGCAGCGGTCTGTAAATAATCTAGTCTGGACCAGACAATCCAGTGATTGACATCATGAGCATCAATCCACGCAATTGGGATACGATGACATGCATCAACCAAGTCAGTGAGCTGCGATTTGTATTTAGACCAGATATATTTTCAGCTGCAGCTGCAAAACCAGATATTTTTTTAATTAAAACTATGAGCCAAAATATTTTTTTGGCAATAATGTAATTTTGTGGCAGACATTTTCTTTTTCTTCAAACAAAATGACGCATAATAATATTTTTACGAATTTTGGGGGACAATTTTTATTTGATAAAATCCCAGGCCCCCACAAGAATATCAATTGGTCAGCCCCTAAGATCTGTTTGAGGTGGATTTTGAAACAATGAAATGTATAAATGATGTTTTGCAACATGTTTAACACAGCAGTCAGACAAAACCAGTGGTTGATAACAGGAGGATCAGTCTGCATTGTCCAGCATCCTGACACACAAGCAGAATGAAGCTGCCATAAAAGTTTCGGGGACTGTCCTTGGGATTCGAATCATGGACCTTCTGATAAGAGGTCAATTGCCTTGTCCACATGACCAGATAGGTTAACGCTCTCAGCAAGCTGACTGTCACATGTAAGGGTGTGGCACAAAACAACATGCATCCTCTCACTATAGCTAGTTACATATATTCACGTTTCCTCAGGTTCAAATTGTTTTATTTGTTGTGTAATGCAAAACACAGAGACATCACAGCCATAGCCAGATGTCTACCTGTAAATTATCAAATCTGGAAATCACAAACCAGTGACTGATATAATGAGCAATGATCCATGTCACCAAGCCTGACCTCAGTCCTGATCCATTAAGTCGACTGATTAAGCAGGACAAGTTGAAAATCAGGCCATGCAAGTAGAATTATAAGTTTACCATTACCAATTACTTAGCTCTGATTACTTAAGTGTTGGCTCCCATTGTCTGTTGCTAATCACCTTATCAGCACCAATCATCTGTTGGCTTCCTTGGTCAGCTTGTACCCTTTGTAAGTTTCCACCTTTTGTTATCTTATTTCTTTGATTGTCCTTACATGTACATATATATGCTCTCTGCCCCGTGGCATTCATTCACCTGATAAAGGAGTAAGCATATACTCCGAAACGTTGTTTTCCTCATAATAAAGAAGTTGACATCCATATTTTCTCTTCCTTATGTGAATCACTTCTAAATGCCTTTCAACGACCTATTTTTAACTTGACTGTAATGGAGGGGCTCGAAATCATGTGATGGTAAAAAGATGGTACCTCATCTATTAGTCTCGCTCCGCGATGCATTATTGCTATAAAATTAACAAGACATGGTTATTTGACCATCCAAGTGTTAACAGAAATAAATTTTCTCAAAGGTAAGACTTCATTTTAGTGTATTGGGATAGTTATTAGACACGTCTTTGAATGGCATTTAGAAGTGATACACATTAAGAAGAGAATTTTTGGATGTCAACTTCTTTATTATGACAAAACACCATGTTTCGAAGTATATGCTTACTCCTTCATCAGGTGAATGAATGTCATGAGGCAGAGAGCATATATATGAACATGTAAGGACAACAAAAGTAATAAGGTAACAAAAGGTGGAAACTAACAAGGGAGGCCAACAGATGATTGCTGATGGGTGATTAGTTATTAGACACGTCATGAGAAATACATCTTAGGTGCTCGAAAACCCATACCACAGGGATATATTAGTAAGCACTCATGAGATTCCCTGCTAAATAAGGATACATAATAAAATCTGGAGGTCTAACATCCTATATATATAAGGTAAATAAGCAAACAATAATTTACTTCGCTCCGGAATCTTGGAAAAGTTCCATCCATTCGTCCGCGTTGAAAAATTCTGCCGTAAACTGTGGAGCGAAATCTCCATAGGTAAAATCGTCCCTGTAATTCTGTTGCATAAACTTCACAACGGCCGGATCGCCATTCATCAGCTGACTCCAAAACCACTCTGTACTAAAACTTGGCACTGAATAAACGCCCCAGTGGATGAAGATTCCGAACTTTGCTTCATCAAACCATTTAGGCAATGGTCTCGATTCCAGTGATTCCCAAGTTGGTTCATAACGAATGTTTTCGATGAAACCTACGCAAAGAACGAAGAGGAACAGCGAGGGTACAAAACCTGTGCGAGACGCCATTTTGTAATCATGTGATCGGCACGTTATCAAGGTCACGTGACCTTGTTTACTCTCCGTTTCCCCGTTTCCGAAAGGTCATGACCTAGGCGGAAAAAGACGTGTGCAGCGACCAGGGCCCTGTTCCACAAAGCGATCTTAGTGCTACGTTGATCGTAAGCCTATGCTTATGATAAAGTATGTGAGTTACGACCAACTTAGCACTAAGATCGCTTTGTGGAACGGGTTCCTGAACTGGGATACGTCCAGCAAGGTGCGCCCAACACACGTGATGATACAAAACTATCTAAACTGGAAGAGTTCAGCTTGCGGCGTATATCAAAAGGAGAACCAGTTTAAATCAAAACGCGAGGTGTGTTTTTCTAACTGAACAGACCAACTTTTTAAATTACTAAATGTTTACCAAATAACCTAATATGTTTTTGGGTGGATCTGTCGGTCGATCCGTCCAATTTGAACACCCAAATACGAAATATGAACGCTTCACCGCCTCATGTCCTGAGCATATCAATTGAGGTTTCCATACAATATATTTTAACATGTCTCTGGCTGCTACAAAATAGGACCCGTGAAGATCCGTGTTGGAATAGGTCTTCAGCGACCAATGCTTGTCGTAAGAGGCGACTAACGAGATCGGGTGGTCAGGCTCGCTGACTTGGTTGATGCAGTTCATTGTAAACTTCACGCGTGGTATCATATAGTGAGATGCTTTTACAGTGAGTGGTTTGGCAGACTACTAACCCGATTACCCAATCTTCACCCGTGGACATTGTACTGCACGTGTGAACTCTTGACCCAGTGTGCGAATATATCGGTACATGGTCTCTGGTGAGATTCTTTGTTTCTTTTCCCTTGATGAGGAAACGTATGCATATATTATAGTTTAGATACCGCTTGCCCGAAGACCTTTCTCACAGTTAAGGGTGCAGGGTTTTTTTTCGGGTTGTTTCGCCAGGAAGGTGACCATGAACAGATGGATCTATATATTTGTGTTGGGTCGCAAATAATTTAATCTGGTTGTCATGTAAATTTATCATCCAAAACTGGCTCCCACAGGAGATATCGCTTGGGTGAGATCAAGCGATATCTACACTGTAGATATCGCTGCAATGAAATTACATCACAATGCTTTGCAGACCATTGTGACATCACTGGTTACCATGACGTCACAATCAAATGACATCACTAATGGCTCTGCTACTGAAGCTGTTAGCAGTACTTTTTACACTGAAGACACTGCTAATTACTGTCTACAAATTGAAAAAGTTGCTAGAATGATGTTGAATGATAAATAAAATCTTACCCTCGTGTCTTTTGATATCAAATATATCAACACTCGTTGATAAAAGTGGAAAAACTTCTCGGCAAGCCTCGGAATTTTTCCACTTTTATCAACTCGTGTTGATATATTTGATATCAAAAGACACTCGGGTGAGATTCTCTATTTATCATCCCAAACTGGCTCCCACAGGAAATGTCGCTTGGGTGAGATCAAGCGATGTCTACACTGTAGATATCGCTACAGTCGAATTGCATCACAATGATTTGCAGACCATTTTGACGTCATTGGTTGCCCTGACGTCACAATCAAATGACATCACTAATGGCTCAGCATCTGAAGCATTCATCACCATTCGCCCCTTCCCGTAACCTGCAAGAAGACTCGCCCCCATATCGATGAATGTTATGTGCGAAAGTACGACATACCAATCAGCATGCGCGTATGGCTTCAATTATTTCGGTCAAAGAATCCCTCAGGAATAATTTTTTATTTAACATATGTCTTGCATTGAAAAATATACCCAATATACAGTTAAATGTGTTCAGCCATACTGTATATTACTATAAGTTCCGATGTGTTTTCAATAGCATCTGGAATATATATGACATATGGGGGAACTATCTATTGAAGACGAGTTTCATGTTCTTTTTATATGTGAAAAATCTAAAATGTTGAGATTAAAGTTTCTACCTAATTTAGATATTACACACAAAGACAATCAATTGATGATCAATTTGTTGAATTTGACCAATGAAGAAGTTATCAAATCTTTAGCAATGTATTTGAAACATGTATTTAGACTAGATTTATACTATGTTCAAGATCACGTTGATTTTTATGTGTCTATTAAAACTGAACTGTACTATGGGCCATATGGTCTTGCATACTGAATAAACTGTCTCTCTGTCTGCCTGTCTGGAACTATCTCCCCTGGATACCAGAGGGACATGTCCCTCCTCTTCAACCCTCACTTTGAAGCCGAATAAAATTCAACATACATCACGCACAAATAAACTTCACAGTTTTGAATTCTGTGGGAAATTCCCTGTGATATCATCCACTGGCATTTTAGGCAAAGCAAAATTACTGAAAATGACCTCTGAAAATTAGGTGCATCGTAAATGTCGCCATTGTTTATACATTACAAAATCACCATTCACGGCGTTATTTACAGCATGTTTCGAAATCTAAATTTCAGATATTTACTCGGAGGTATGAATTTCACAAATAGCATATTAGTGATCAGGGCTATCTGTCTTTTATCAAATCACCAATGATCATTCCAAAACGTCGCCGATAACCCCAGAATGTTTGGGGAACGCAAACATGAACGCTGAAGCGAACTTTCCGCCATATTGGATAAGGTTTACATAATCACGTTTCACGTATGTCGGTAATGAGACGCCTATTTAACATGTTTCAAACTCAGCTGTGATACATACATAATTGAATTTCTCATACATTTCAGAATCAAATGACAAATACTACTAGTAAATCCCATACCATCAAGAAATGTTTTGCAATATTGCTAATTTTATAAGTTTTCTACCATATATACAACTCAAAAGAACGCCGAATGTTTTCAAATGACAAAAGACAATCTGTCATGCCATGACAGATTAACTATGGTCATATGAAAACAATCGGAATTTCTTTTACTTCTTTTGAATAGTATATGGCATGATACTTTAGTAAGCTGCATTCTAATGGTATCAAATTCGGAGATAAATCAAGCGTGTTTTCAATTTACAGGTTTCCAACTTCGATTCGATACCTGTAAATCTTGTTTGTAAGGGCACGCTTCATTTCCTCAAGGGAGGACAGTGTGAATGATGCTTACCTTCGCTAAATTATTTAATTATTTATCTATCTTGAACTTATTTAATATACGAAACAATACTTTCAAAAGTAAAAATCGTGGATAGAAATTATACGTATTCCATATTTCACGGCTACATGAAAATAACGTCTTTTTTAAGATAAAGGGTCACAAAACGGTTTTTTTGCTTTTGATCGAGTTAATATTTTTTGACATTTTTCGTTTGCTTTAGAAATTGAAAAGCAGTTTTTACCTGCATGTCAAGGAATTATATATATTGTCACGGGTTTCTAAGGGCAGGTTTAAGATCAGTGTTCGAAATACCTGCCTGCCCGACCGTCCGAGACGGGTTGATTTCAACTCGGGCTGCCAGATTTTCAAATCCCCCTGCCCGACGGTCGGGTTATATTTCATATGTGACAATATTCTAAATATTTCCCGATGATAATCATTAATTCACATGTAAAGATGAATGATAAAATGTAACCAAAAAGAAATCCCGTTAGCTTATCCTGAGAAACATATGATTATAGTGGGCAGGCAGGTTTTGGTCAGGGCTGGCAAGTATTTCAGCTAGCCAGTCCTGTGGTCTGGCTGAAATTTTTGGGAGTTTCATACCCTGTTAAGATACATGTCGTTTTAAGTTAACGAAGTGTATTATAAAAAACGTGATGCCAAGATTCAATAAAAATACGAAAAATAAACGCTATTGGTAGACTTGAAGCTTGTAAATCACAAGCATCAGTGGCTAAGCATTTCGACGTTTCCCAGAGCGCAATTTCCCGACTTTGGACACAATATCGGCAACGCGACACCACTAGAGATCCTCCAAGATCGAGGAGACCCCGCGTCACATCAACAACCCAACATTGCTACATCGTCTTCGACAATCCGAAAATCCGGGTTCTTCAGCAACCCTTACTTTTCCGTAAGATGCGACTAACGAGATCAAGTGGTCAGGCTCGCTGACTTGAATGATTAATGTCACTGTATCTCATTTGCGTGGATCAATGCTCATGGTGTCAATCACTGGATTGTCTGGTCGAGACTCGATTATTTACAGACCGCGGTCATGTCGACTTTGTGGATTGAGTGGGAAGGCTCGGTGACCGACGAGGTTGGAATGTGTTCATAATACCAACCACTGGTTTGTCTGGACCAGACTGCACTGAACAATATTTACACACACGTGGATAAGGAAGCTTGACATTGATGCATCAGTGTGACGTCATACGCTCCAGTTCCTCTGATCACCCGGAGTCGAGTCTGCTTTGTTTCTGTGCCAGTGACGCATACAAGAACAAAATAGCAGGACTATCTAAAGTCCTTTTCAATGTATTCATTCATATGGAGTATGGGTTTTATGCAAACGTCTTATGCCATGAGTGAGTGAGTGAGTGAGGTTTTACGCCGCTTTTAACAATATTCCAGCAATATCACGGCGGGGGACACCAGAAATGGGCTTCACACATTGTACCCATGTCGGGAATCGAACTCGGGTCTTCGGCGTGACGAGCGAACGCTTTAATCACTAGGCTACCCGACCGCCCCTCTTATGCCATGAAACATCCCAGTATGTTTATCATGCACAGGAAAATTTTGTCCGAAAGGATTGTATGAATAAAATCCCGATAAGTCATTTTGTAAGAATCAGTATGTAAAATGCACGTTGAAAGCAGTCTTATGGCAATCACATTGTGGCTTTTTGTTGTGTCAATGTACAAAGAGGCACATGCCAGATTTGTCAGATATGTTTTTGTTAAAACATCAGTCTGAAAAATTTAGTTTGTAAATATGATGACTGAGACTTTGGGCTTGGACGGGTAACTCGGGTATTCGGGTCGGATGGGTCCTGAGTAGGACCCGGGTACCCGCAGGACTAGCCGGACCCGTGGTTACTCACGTGATATATTGTTTAATGACAAAAACTCACTTTAGCTCAGCGGTTACACTACAAATCGCTAATGTTCGCATTTCTTTCTGACGATGCACACATTCCTATGACTTGTATATGTTTGAGTAAAGATA